CTCCGCCCTCGGGCGCCCCCTGCCGGCGGCAGCCCGGCCCGGCCCGCGGGGGCTCCCCCGCTGCTTTGTCGGTGTGGGGTCTGCAGCAGGCTGGGGCGCTGGGGACTTGTCACTGTAGGGGCTCCCTAGCCCTGCTGGTTTTTCACTGTAGGATCACCCTGGGCCGAAGACCCCGCTGGTTTGTTGCTGCAGACCTTGCTGAGTTGTTTTTGTAGGGTCTCCATAAAGCAAGGACACTGGTGACTTGTTGCTGTAGGGTCTCTGCAGTCCTGAGCGCCCGCTGGTTCGTTTCTATAGGGTCTCCATAAGGCTAGGGTGCTGGCGATTTGTTATTGTGGGGTCGCTCTGGGCCTCAGACTCGGATGTTAGGGGCTGCAGATCACCGGGCCCAGCCCCCCCGCTCTATGCAGGAAGACAACTGGGGTTGGGTGATTCCAGCAAGGTGACTGTCCCGTCTCCTCTTGAAAACCTCCAGGGTAGGTGACTGCACCACCTCTGGGGGGAGTTTATCCCACTATCTGGACACCCCGACTGTGAAGGAGTTTTTCCTGGTATTAAGCCTGAAGCGGCCTTCCAGGAGTTTGTATCCATTGGTCTTGGTCTTCCCCAGGGGTGCCCTAGTGAACAGTCGTTCACCGAGCTCCTGGTACACTCCTCTGACATAGCGGTAAGCCGCTATTGAGTCCCCTCTCAACCTTCGCTTCTTCACACTATAAAGGCCCAGGTCCCTCAGCCTTTCCTCGTATGGCTTGCCTTGCAAGTCCCTGGTCATACGGGTGGCTCTCTTCTGGACCCTCTCAAGTTTTTCCACGTCCCAGCAGCAGACCCTGCTGCTTTCTCACTGCAGATCTCCCTGGGTCCAAGATCCCACTGGTTTGTTACCAAAGGGTCTTTGCTGGTGCCAGGACTTTCACGCACACTGCTTTCCTATCCATCCTGGAGTGACTGGACCCCGCACTCCAGGCATTTGCTCTTGCCCTGTCCCTCTTGCTCCCAGCCAATGCACATGCCTCCGCTGCTGTGCTGCCTGCATTTTACTCTCTAGGGCCAGAGATGCCCCGACTGAAATGGTGCCCTCAGCCAAGGAACCCCAGGGATGAAGGGAAGCAGCACTTAAGAGTAATCCATCATCATTAGAGCCCACGGATGGGCCTTGGGTACTGCAGGGTCCAGGATGCACCTTGAGCCAAGGTGGGGTCTTTCCCATTGAGGCCAGCCAGTGCCTGCCCACTGCCAAGAGTGGGAGCCTTTCAGAAAGAAGAGACTCCACAAGAGTTGGGCGGCTGGTACGCTGCGCCAGGCGCTGGCTACACTACACCGTTGTTTTGCCGTCACCCTGCGCTCCCTTCCTCCATCTACGGCTGCCCGTTGCGTGAGGCTCTTTGTGACCCGCCTGTACAGCACCCGACACAGCCGGGTGCTGGGAGTCCTACCACAGACTGCCTGGAGACCAAATCCAGCCACCTGGGCCAGGCCACTCCAGCGCCAATCAAGCCCTAAAGAAAGGCCAGTTCCTTCCATCTGGCTCCCCCTCCCAGCACAATGAAAAGCAAAGCACGGGCAAGGAATTCAGGGCTGACAGACTTGGCTGCAAGCAGCAAGCTCCCTGTTCTCGCGTCCCCCACAAGCGGCTGCCTACAAAGCCACAAGTGTCTGGGGTCCCTGCCTCCTCCGGCACGCAGGCTTCAGTGCGAGTTGAGCCAGGCTCGTCAACAGATGGGGGAACTGTGCTAATTGGTTAATTTGGCAGTGGCACAAGACAGCCAGCGAAGACACAACAATGAGAGGCCCTTACATCTCAGAGGGCTTGAATGCAGGTTGAAGGGACTGAAATAATAGACGGAGGGACTTCAGTCATAGAAGAGCCAGGGCAGTTTATTGGATTAAGTACAAAACTGGCAGCCAGGCCTGACTATGCCTTGCTGGCACTCATAGGCAAGACACTTGACCAGCTAAGAAGCAGCACCCCAAAAGGATGGAGATCTTCTATGGCGCCTTTTCTGTACAGGTTTGGTGCTCCGCCTCCCTTGTTTCCCTCCCTCTTACTGTGAAAAATTCGTATCTCATCGATTCCATTTTGCCTGGGAGACTCCATGTAGGAAGGAAGAACTGATCTGTTTAGGACAGAAGATATTCCCTGCCAGAGACCTCCGGTCAGCAAAAGCGATTTTAAAAACATCTCCCTCTCTTCCTTGCGGCCAGGGAGACCATGGGGGAAAAGAGGTCTTTATTAAAAGATTCAGCAGTGTTGTACTGTGCACTACATCCTCAAAGAGTTATTACAAGACTAAGAGCTTGCAATCTTAGCAGACAAGACCAGTACTGGCTGGGGTGGAAACGAGGCAGAGAAACAGGAGGTGACATGACCAAGGTCCCACATAAGATTTGTGGCAGAGGCAGCAGCAGAGCACAGCTTCCAGTTTGCTGCCTTATCCACTGGTCCAGACCTCAGCTCAGCAAAGGGCAGCTGGGAACCACAATACTCACCGCCTCCATCCATGCGACCTCCGGGAAGCTCTCCAAAGAGAATGAGGGAAATCCAGACTAATGCTCCTGATGCATCAAGATTTGTGCACTCACTTCTTGCCATCCCTTTCTAGAGGACACTTGAAACCTCTCTGCCTCAGTTTCACCACTTTGTGGCAACTACACCTCCATATCCATAAGGTACTCTATAAGCGTTAATGGCAATATGCTCTTTAGTCCACCCCACAGGGATTCTTTAAAAACTGCTGCCCATGATACCAGCTCCAAGACCTGGCTTAAGCCACATACATGCCATTAGTGCCTTCCCCGCTCAGCCAGGGAGCTGGGCCTGTGTGTGCCCCATTAATCACTGCAGTAGGAGGCAAGCACATGCACTGAGTGAAGAGTGTGCATAAGTGCTTTGCTGAAGCAGGAACCAAGCTGTTAGAAACCTTGATGGATTTTCTTCCCACCTCTTGACCAAAAACAATAGTGAATCCTTACACCCGCCACCAGGTCAGCTTGCTAGTGGCATCACACAAGATGCATGCATTGTTCGCTGTGAATTATGTCTGTCCGACTTCTGCTACCGTGCCCGGCAGACCTCGTAAATTCAAGGGTATTATTGCAAGAGACAGGTTTCCCTGATAGTCTACCTTTCAAGGGGTATGCACTGGCAGCCCCTCAGCTGTTTGCATGTTTGTCTCACCCACTACAGGCAGGAACAAGCAGCCTCTTTCACTTGCACAGAGCCAAGCCTTGACAGCTCCGGTCACTATACAAAGCCAGGCTGAATGCGTCTTCTGCTTCTATTCCCCTCATCCTTGTTGCCACCTGTTCCACGTCTCTAGCCCT